AGAAAAAATGAGAAAAGGAAAAAAATGGAAACAAAGTCTTTGCAAATAGGGAAGGGTGGAGGGGGTGAAGGGAGGGCAGGGGAAGGGGGGGAAAAAAGGAACCAAGATACTCATGTAATGGTACAAGATCCCAATGGTGAATGTAACTGTATTTTATGCCTAAAATGTACCAATAAACTTAATGGGAGAAAAAAAAAGAACCAAGATATATCACATAAAGGTATAAATTCCCAATGATGAATGTCATCATATTGTATATCTAAAATGTACCAATAAACTTAATAAATGAAAAAAAAAACAAAACAAAGAGCAGAGTCCCTTTCTCAGAAAGATAAAGCATCCCAGAAAAAATAAAATGAAAAGCATTAGCCTTCAATTACTATTTAAAAGGAAAAGAGTTGTGGAGGTACAGTCCCTGTCATTTCCCAGATTGACCAGGATGGCATGAGTGGCAGACACACCACAGGCCCCATTGGCATGCTGAGATTTAGGGTACCCCCACCCCGTCCTTTGGGGGCCACTGCTTCCATTCACTTCCTTGTCTCGGCCTTCCATGACCTGTCACTTTCCTTTCCTCTTCTTTCTGGAGCCTGCGGTGTCCCACCCAGCTCATCACTAAATCACAGTGACAGGAACTCTTGGACATCAGTTTGGCTGTGGCTGCAGCAAAGCATGTGGTCCCTAAAGCAGGGTCATGAGGAGTTGTCCTGGTTGGGTTTAGGGGAGCCTGGTCAAACCAAGGTGAGCCTGCAGTTCTAGAGAAGCCTAGAAGCCCCCCCAAAAGACAGCCTGAGTCTACAGAGCTGCCTCACAAAAGTCTGCTCTGAGCCACTGTGCTCTGAGCTTGTTTTAAAGTCAAAAACAGAAGGAAGTCATCCTACTCTATCATTCCAAGAAAAGTGCAGAACTTCCAGTTCCTCAAACACTTTGGAGTCCTTAGCCCATCAACAGCCTGCAGGAGCTGCTGTGTGCCCTGCTGGTGTCCCTGAGACCTGGCTTAGAGAGCTTGCTGTATGTACAGGGGATTGACTGTGCCCAGTTTGCCCTTGTCACCATTGGTGTGACAGCTGCTTGGGCTCTGAGTTATGTCTAGTGTGGAACCTGAGGAAGGAAGCACCTTAGGGACTCCAAAGTAGCTTTTTGTCACTTTTTGTGTCAGTGTAAGGAAGAGGGTCACCCAAGACCCCAGCCCGCAGTCCCAGTGGTATCTGGACAAGGCAGTCTTACTGGAAGATGTTTTTCTGCTTTATTTGTAGCACATGGCACCTCTCTCTCGCCTCCACCCTCATACCTTCCTAGCTCATCTTCTTTTCTCCATCCTATCCTAGCTCATCTTCTTTTCTCCATCCTCCATCCCTTCTCGAAGGGTGGCCCACTTGGAGTCTCTAGCACTGGCCTTCCCAAGTCTCTCATCACTCTCCTCCTCCTCCCCCTGCAAGTATCTGGTCACTGTCCCTGTGATGAGTCTTCTGTCCTCCCTGCTTCTATTGGCAGCCAATGGATGAGCCTGTTTAGTGGATCCAGGAGGCCATCTCTGCCTGTCCCCCTTAGAAACACAACAAGATCTGCTCACATGATGTCAGTGCACATGATTTGTCCAAGTGAACAGAACAGTCCTGGATGCTGTTACAAATGCAAGATGTGCCCTTCAGGTGAGCCTGCCATAAGAATGACAGTACTTCTGGTTGGAGGAAAAATGAAAATTTCACCTGATCTCAGCCCCTTTGCACCCTGTGTATCCTCCTCCCTCCTCTCCCTAAATAAAAATAAAAAACACTAAAACAAAAAAAAAGGAAAAGAGAATTTCATATTTTGCATGGGTTTATGTCAAGCAACCATATGAATTAATAAAGTACAGATATTTACATTTCCATTTAATCAAGTATCTCTATAAAATATTTTTAGATTCCCTTATGTTCCTTGAATAATGAAAAACATGAATTTAAATTTATCATTTCAACCAACTATAAGAAAATTTAGAAGATGAGTATCCACTACCCAAGATAAACTATAGCACATGATTTTGAATTAAAAACATTAAAATATGTAGAACTTTCTATATGTCATATTTTCTCCCTTAACTTCTTTTTTGGCTTTATAAATCTCAAAGACTGAATGGTAGTTTAAACTATTCATGATACTCTTTATCTTGCAAAGATCCAAGATTTCAATTTTCTAAAAACAAATTTAAAAATTATGACATCATAACCAAATTTTACCTCATGACTAAAATCGAAAAGCCTAATAATTCCAAGTGTTGCTGATGCTGTCAAACAAGTATACTCTTCCACATGCTGTACATGGGAGTGTAACTTGGCATACACTTACATATTGTAGTTTATTCACCACAAACCTTTCCAATATTCCCTCATCTTTATATTTCCTAATCACAATGCCCACAACTGAAAGCCATGCCAACAGTGTCTCATGGCACTTTCATTACTAGTACCCCAACATTCATTAATGGTTGACCACTTGCTATTTGAAGAAAACGAAATCATACTGTGTATAAAACAGCACTGAACAAAATAACACAGAATTTCAACCCAAAATATTTATAAAACTGACAACTATTGCAGAAAAAGAAACTTCAACCAAATGTAATGTTGTAAGCTTGCAATCCCAGATACAGGGGAGGCTAAGGCAGAAGAATCACAAATTCAAGACCAACCTAGGCAACTTAGTGAGGTCCTCTCTCAGAATAAAAAATAAAAAGAGCTAAAAATATGGCTTAGTGATACTGGATCCTCAGTACTGCAAAAAGAAAAGGAGAAAAAAAGAAAGAGGGGCAGGAGGGAAGGAAGGAAGGAAAAGAAAAAGAAAGAAACTCTATAGAAATAAACCTGAAAAATTTCATGGAGTTTTACTACTTAATAGCTATCTCAGTGTAACAAATGATATAAAACATGCACAATGAGGGCTAGGGATTTAGCTCAGTGGTTTCATCGCCTGCTGCGCAAGTGCAAGGACCCGAGTTAGATCCCCAGTACCAAAAAAAAAACCATGCACAATGAGTAAATGACAAGATGGGAAAAAAGTTGACTATGGAAATGTTTAAAGACAAATTATGACAAATTTCCCTAGTGATGAATTATGAAGAGAGTAAACTAGAGTTGTACCTTGCTTCACAAACTCAGTTCTCTCCATGATTCTGGTCGCAAATTGAACTAGACGAGAACTGAATCAAATTTTCCTATAAGGTCAAAACTGAACCTAACCACTGAATTTGATTCAGTTCTTGTCCAACTCAGTTTGCAACCAAAATCATGGAAAATATCAAGTTGGTGAACCAAGGTACCACTGTAATTCAGGAGATGAGTTAATTCAAGAAAATAGTAATACTTTCTATAGCAATGAAACTATGCTACCTTTTTAAAACATACATCTGTTTTACATCTTCTGCTAATTTTACTACTGGACATTAAAAGCCAGTGAACTTAATATAAAAGAAAGAAAAAAACTTACTGGGATTGAAAATTCCTCAGCCAAATACTTCAGTAAGGATGCTCCTTTGGCCAAAAATTTGTTTCTTTCTCTCATATTGCCTTGAAGTTGTGTATCAAATTCCTTTCTGACCACAGAAGCAATGGAATCAATAATCACAACTTTAACTTTTTTTGAAATAATTTCTTCTTCCAAAGATTCAATCCTATAACAGCAGAATTTGTAAAATGGTAGACAAATTTAAAATACAACTTTAAAATAGAGCATTGCAAAGGTTAATCAACTTTAAAACAACAGCAAATTGTTCTTAGCTAAGTTATAGTTCTGTCTGCAGAAATTCAGTAAATATAATTTATTCTCAGCTATTACACTGCATTTTTCTGGAAATAAAGCAAAATATTTTCATTTAGCTGAAGAAGTCTGAGGTTCTACTATGATACCACTAAAGCTCCAATTTTAGAGTAAAACTATTTGTGGTAGCCAATTTCCAAATGGCTCCACTTACTGCTACCTTCTAGCATGTTGTATCCTTGCCACTCCCACACTGTACCAGAGTTTGTCTGTGTGACTAATAGTATATGATAAAATGATAGTACATCATTTCTGAGAGCAGTCTTATAAAAGACTACAATCTTCATCTTGGACACTCTTTCCCTTGCCTGTCTCAGATCACTCACTCTGGGGGAAACAGGCTGCCATGTTGTGAGTCAATGGAGAACCCCACATAGTAAGGAATGGAGGACTTCAAAACATCTCTAGTAAGCTTGGAAGCAGATATCCCAGCCTAGTCAAGTCTTTGGATGACTACAGCCATGGCCAGAAGCTTACCTACAATCTCTTGAGCAATTCTGAGACGGAAATTCCCAACTAAGCCAATCCCAGATAATAACTGTCAGAAATTATAAAAGATAATATACGTTTGCTATTTTAAACTGGTAACGTTAAAGTAATTTAATGAAACAATAGATAATTGGTATGCCACTTCGAAAATCTGAAACATTTTATTCATTTACTATTTTTTCATTTTTAAAGAAATACTTCAAAAAGTTACAGCAAATAAAAAACTGAAACAATCGCTTCTCGGCCTTTTGGCTAAGATCAAGTGTAAAACACTGAAAGATTTCCCATAGTCCTAATATATATGAATTTCTTCTATTCAGAAGCTGAAAATATAAAAGACAAAAAATAAATCTTCAAAGTATTACTTAAATATTAAAATCTAAAACAGTACCTTTGTAGAACTTCTTCACAAGTAAGTTCTCGGAAAACATGAACTTTGGTACTTGTCAAAAGTAATTTTTCTTTAATGTTAAAATATCTAGGAAATCGGGATTCTGCTATCTCGATCAGTCTGTGAGGGAAAAAAGTACCACAAGAGAAAATAGTCAATGTATTTGAAGTCACGTTGCTGAGCCTCTAATGAATTTCACTAGAGAAATAGGAGACTTACCAATAGAGCAGATTTTAAAAATGGCTTTAAATACACACAAGTTTTAAATGCAAGCTTTCCTTTTTAAATAAACACTAATAGAGGTTGGCAGTCAAAGCATGAGATCAGCAAGGACTTTTAATCTTGAGCAAACATCTCTCAGATTTTTCAGGGAATAAGATGTCCTTATAAATACTTTAGGCTATCATGGCTTTCCTCTCAAAAGCCTGCCCTGCTCCCTCCAAGGTGTACTTTTATCTTTTTTTTTGGTACTTGGGATCAAACTCGGGTCCTTGAGCTTGCGAGGCAAGCGGCAGAACCACTGAGCTAAATCCCCAGCCCCATGGTGTACTTTTATCTTGCTTTTTCCTCTTTTACTTGGCCCAAGCTTGCTCTGCAGAGCCAATTTCTCTATCACTCTTCACTTTTATTTTTTCAAATAAACTTTGCCATTACTTTTAAAAAATAAATAAATATTTTATCTAGAAACTATAAGATATATTAGGAAATAATAAAAATGCTTTTATTTTCTTGAATGAACAATGTATATTTAAAATGTATATTATCATTCTAACAATAAAGTATCAGTAATATCTCCACATCTCATTCCAGAAAACTGTGCTTTTTCAATTAAAACTTAATTCATACAAATAAATCCTACCCAATGGTTCCTTCATAAAAAGAAAATTATCTAAATAAATACTATCTAATTGTTTCTTAGTAGACAAAACAAAAAATGGTCTCCTAAACACTGAATTCTGATCTCAAAGCTATATGTAATATATGGGGTAGGCCAAGCACAAAAGAATGACAAGGTGAAACAGAGACAACTATCATCATTAATAAAATAAGATACAGACCATTACAAGAACTTACAAATATTTCAATTCAAAGTGTTAAAAATACAACTCTTTGAGTGTAACTGTAATCCACTTAAAATGACACTTTATCTGCCCTACACTTAGTCATCCAATCAGACTGGAGGAGAAACTGTAAACACTAAAATCATCCTATATTTTATGTTCCATTTAGAGGCACAAAAGTACAAAAGCACAGTGTTTTAATCTCTAAACAGTTCAAGAGGCTGAGAACTTTAAAGAGATAAACAAAATGAGTTCCTTACATATGCTGTACTCAGAAATGAAAGAGTAAAACCTAAAACAGAAAAACGAGAAGAGAGAAATAAAAAGTCAACAATTTTATTAAAGTATATTTTGAACAAACTGGAAAAAACATAATTAGGTTGAACATGAAGAGGAAAAATACTTCATGAGTAAGAATAGTATCAAAAGAGGTGCATAATGAGAACAAAGTGGATCAGATTAGCATTCAGGAGAGGCACAGGGATTAAAATGGAAGAAGGGGGTGAACTAAGTGAGGAAATCAAGAAAAAACGGTATTGCCTTGGCAAAAGTAGACTGCCAAATTCTGAGGATTTGGTAGAAATGTGCAAATTCCTCTACTAGGGGAGCTATTTGTTGAGTTTAGTATTAGAGAAGTAAACTTAAAAAATAAAACACCAATTTTTAATAGCACAGGTATGGTTTTGACCAGAAAATTCTGCCAGAAACATGGAAGTTTCTCAAGGTTTGAATTCATAGTTGATCAAGAATCAAACTGGGAATAGCTAGTCTATTGGCAACAATGGCACAGCTGACAGGCAAAAGTAATTTTCTGCCCTCTAGCACTAGGTTGGATTTCAACCAGTGGATTGAGAATGGTCAAATGGCAGTCAGCGTGTGAAAATGAACCACCTTTACTCATAGTTATCATGCCAAATAACTGTACTGAATGATTATTTATACACCAGTATGCTGCAGCTTTCTATAAGCATTTCCAAATGATTTTCATTTTAGAAAAAAAACCTCAAAAATATAAATGTAGTTTTTCTTTAGGGCAAAACTCTATTTTTTTTTCCAGACAGTAAGTATATGAGCTTGAAAACAATGCCATCTAGTGGATATCTTTTTATAAAAAGTGTTCGTCTAAAGGGACATACTTAAGATTCATCCATTTAACAAGTATTTTTTTTTCTTAAATTCTTTTATTGGTACATTTTAGGTATACAACACATTTACATTTCTCTTTGGGAACTTGTAGCGTTACATGATGCCTCTTGGTTCTTTTTTTTCCCCCATTCCTAGCCCTCCCTTCACCCCCTCCACCCTTCCCTATATACAAAGACTTTATTTCCATTTTTTCCATTTCTCAGCATTTTTCCTTTCCCTTCTTTCCTTTCCCCTGCCCCTCCC